ATTAGGCTAGTAATTCAGATTTTAATTAATTTGAATTTATTTGATATAATTTTTGTTCATTATTATTTTTAGGATATTTTAAAATAATTTTGAGCTTAGAAGATTGGGTCAGATGTCATGTAAGTTGTGCATTAAGATTAAGATTTTTGTTTTATTTGTTTCTGATGTATTTTGTGGGTCAGTGAGTCTAAAACCTATATTAAGATTAGGGTTTAGGATTATTTATGTTAGTGATCACGTAGGGTTAAAGGAGACACATCATGCAACCGCATCACGCATGCGCATTATGCTGCCACATCACGCACACTCATTACGCAATCGTACCACACAACGCACATCACGCAGTCGCATCCTCCAAACTAGGCATGACAACGGGGTGGGGATAGGGGCGGGTTTTGCCTCCTCGATCCCCACCCCAGACTTTTTAATCAACCTCGTCCCGCCTCTTATTCTTGACGGGGTTAGAAATTAAGTCTTCATCTTTGTCTCCGTTGGGTTTCGGGTTTTCCGCCTCGTCCCGTCCCGATCTATATTATTTTTAAAAAGATAATTATATTTATAATAAGGTAATTTTACTATGTATTTTTTATATATAAATAAATTTTATAATTTATAATTATTATTAATTAAATATATTTTTTAATTTATTATATTTATATTAAAAAAGGTATGTAAAAGAAATATTTAATTATTTTTTATTTCTATATATATGTAGAATATTTATAATATTATTATTATTATAATACTGTATTCAAACATTTGAATACTTATAATATTATTATTATTATTATTATTATTATTATTATTATTATTATTCAAATATTTGATTACATGTATAAGTTAATTTATTTGTAAGTTGTCATTTAAAAATATGAAATATATAATTTATAAGGAAATATTTAATAAGTTAATTCTTATTTAATTAGTATGAAGGAATAAAAATTTAAATTATTAATTATTTTTAATCCTTTAAAATACAATTATTTTATTAAAATAAAATTTGATATATGATAAATAAAAATAATTAGATAAAAAAATATGACATAATAAAATCTAATAAATTTAAATTATAAATAAAATAATATTAGTTAAGACTAAGATTTATGTAAAATATTTAGAAAAAGATAAAAAAAAATTAACTTTATGTTCATCAAATTAGTTGAAAAGATTGAAAATAAAAACAAATTGATCTGAGAGATTAAGGAAATGTGAAAAACTGAAAAATAAGAGAAAGAAAATAATATAATAAACTAATTGATATAAAAGATTAAAAAAGACAAAAAAATTAAAAAGGGGTAGAAGAAAAGTAAAAATGGTGAAATATAAAAAAATGACCTTATATGTAATATAAAAAAATAGAAATACTTTTAAAATATTAATATTTTAAAATTTAAATTTAAATATAAAGTCGGGGGAGGATGAAGATGAGATCGGGGTGTGGATTGCATTACCTATCCTCGTCCCTGACTTTTTAAAGTGGGGAAAACCCATCCCCACCCCTAATCAACTCGATTTTTCCCCGCTAAACTCGGGACAGGGACGGGTTGGTCCCCATAGGTACAGGGGGTTTAATTGTCATCCCTACTCCGAACGTCATTTTCGTCTTTTGCATTTTATATTCATATTCGTTTACTCTTCTGTCATTTATTTTTAACACATTTTTTGTTTCAATTTCAATTATGTTTCTTCTTCTGCGTTTCAATTTTTCCATGCATAGTTAAATCTTTGTATTAATTTTCTGAAAAGAATACAGTAGATCTTTGAGGTTTCGTTTGTTCTCTTAATTCTTCATCTCCTAATCTCAGTGTTGGATTATAAGTTGTTTATACTTAATAAACCAAAATTATAATTTGTTTATGCTTAATAAACCTAAACCAATATCATTGTTTGCTTAATCCTGTGTTAGATATGAGATTATGTGATGCATGTAATGCTTAATTGTATAAAGATAATTTGGGTTAATCTTTGCTTAGTTGGTTAATTTTGGGTTGAAATATGGGTTAAAACAATCTAATTTCGTAGCATAGGATAAGTGACACTGTATTTGTTTCTCACTATTTTACTCAAATTCTATTTTCATTAATTTTAAATTTAATTACTGCACTATTTTATTTCAAAACAGTTCTTGATTCTTGCACTTTTAATTAAAATCACTTTATTTTAATTTATAAATTTTAATTATTTAAATTTTGTTTCTGTTTAATTTTAATTGTCATTAATATTCTATAACAATTTGATTTTAATTTTTATTATTCTGCATCAATTTATTTCTTTTTCACTATTTCATTCATTCTCCTATTACTTGTTATTTGCTATATTGTATTAGTTTAACAATTTGTTTATTATTTTTTATCAATATTTTGTGCGATCAAAATGTTGTTATTTTGTTGTTACTAAAGTTGTCTCTACACATGAGGATATTGAAGTTGCATGGAAAGAGACAAAAATAAGGATAAGATAGACTTTTCATTCAATTACCTTCATTTCTTCCTAACATTTGAGGTATGTATGCAGGATGAGTTCCACTTATATTTAATAGCTAACCCATGTCGAATATCATAAGGACACAATTATAACAAAATACTCATTATCACGTATCATTATCTCTAAAACACTAAATATGAGAATGAATGAAAGAGTGAAAAAGAAATAAATTGATGTAGAATAATAAAAATAACCTTATATGTAATAGAAAAAGAAAAGAAAATACATTTAAAATATTAATATTTTAAATTTTAAATTTAAATATAAAGTCGGGGTGGGGACGGGGTCGAGGTCGGGGTGGGGATTGCATTACCCATCCCCACCCCGACTTTTTAAAGCGGGAAAAACCCGTCCCTGGTCAACTTGGATTTTCTCCGTCAAACTCGGGCGGGACAGGTCGGTCCCTACGGTACGGGTTTAATTGTCATCCCTACTTAATCTGATAATAATTCAAAATTATAAAAATATAATGCGGGGAAATAAATGTTAAAAATGTAAAGGGGAGGGGGATCTATAAAATAACTGAAAACTCAATTTCTAATGGATTTTTGGCCGTCGAAATTTCGTCAATAATATCTATTTATCGATAAATTTTTACTATTATTGACGGATTTTGACCGTCGGTAATTTCAATATTTTGTGTAGATATACAAATTTCAACCTTCATTCTCAAATTATTATTTATCTTAGTCTATCTTCTAGTTGCATGACACTTGAATCAATTAAAGAAATCAAACATTAAACAAATCAAACATTAAACGTAACTAATTAATTAAAATAAGAAATTTAAATTTTTCAAATCATATTATAGTCAGAAAACGTTGAATTAAATTCATGAAAGACAGAAATAAAATTATTGTAAATAAATTTATTTTATCATAATTTTTTTTTCATTTTAAAATACGACAAATTGTTTGAAAAAGGTTCAAAACAAACGGTTGTGCATTAAAGGGGGAAAAAAAGAACAATTATTTTTGAGTTCAAGAACTTGTAACAAGTTAATATAAAATCAGTTTCAATAAACTTATAAATAGTTCAGTTTGTATTTGAAATCATTGGACTTTTAAAATCATTTTGTCAGTTTAATAGTTTGATGCAATTTTTCTCTTGAATCAAACTATGAAGGGTCTTAGAAATTGCTAACTGGCCATTTCCTAAAGGCATGGAAGGAGGAAGAATTAAAGCAATTGTAAGAGAGTGTAAGAACCCCTCTTGATATATAAGCCTAATTTGGCCTTAACTAAAGACAGAAGATAAGGGAGATTTATAAATATTTACGACACTATATATGACTATATGCGGAATCATTTTTTTAAGATGAAAATATCGTGGTAAATAGGAGGATCCATTCATCATGCACAATAAGAGTTTGATTTATTCATAAGAGTTTGATCTATTCATCTTGTACAACAAGAGTTTGATCTGTTCATTCTCACCAAAAGGAAAAAACAGGTTATAGAAAATGGCAAAAGAAATAAGGTGTGGGTTAAAGGTGGCGTAATTTTATCGAACAAGCCAAAGCTACGTCAGTATCTGATGATGGCAGTGGAATTGGAAAAATATAATAATATCATTTCATGCATGTCAGAAAGAACTTAATTTATTACTACTAACTAAAGTGGTTGAGTCTGCAGAAGAAGGTGGATAATTTCTTCCTCAGTTGGTGATGTTCTGATTAACGTTTGCAAATAAAATATATATAGAGACGTGAATCACACATCCTTCATCCATTTACCTGTTAAACAATAATCTGACACCTTCAACAGGTTCATGTGCGTGTGAATCACTTAACAAAAAAATGTTCAATATAGGCTCATTCTACCGTAATTATCAAATGAAATGTGGCCTGCGTTCATACCAACTTCAGCAACATTTACCCGTTAAAAAACAATTTGATGCCTTCAACATGTTTTCCTGTTAAAAGCAATCTGATACCTTCATGACACTACATTTGTTTTTTAATATGTAGTTTACTACTCATCGAGTGCAATGAAATTAATCAAAGTCAAAATTGTTAATCTGAGGAGTGGTTGTCATCATTATGACTACGTCCAAATATAGACATATTAAATTCCTTAAAGCCTCTGATTTACCATTTTCGACAAGGTTAAACATCGAACTAGGTCAACCACAAACTTAAATCGAACTAGGTCCACTCTTCTTCCACCTGTCCTGTCAACATAAAATATTTCACATTGCATATTACAAAACTCATCGGACAAGAGAGTAACTCCATTGATTTCTATCCAAAGCGTGCAATTAACAAGCATTTAAATGGGAGGCAAATTGGAGAAGCTGAAAGGAGAAAGATTAATTAATTAAACAGAAAAACATTGGTGACATTGATATAAAGAAAAATTCAAAGAAGGTTTTTCCTTAGTTAATTACCGCACCTGACCAAATCTACAACCATTCTGCATAAATACCCAAGCACATGCGCGAAATCTCTCCACCAACAACATATCTAAGAACTATAATCTCTGAGGCACACGCAAATCTCTTCACCATCCTGAAACATGCAGCGTCAACGCCATATTTCGATCGCAATTTCACTGATATCCATCTTGTTTTATTCCGCATTAACTAGAGCTCTTCCTGCACCTGGTAAATTTTATTGCAATAACCTCTCTTGCTCATGAAGTTTTCAACGATTTAATTTAAGCTTTGAAGCTTATCCTTTGAAAACATATGGAAACTTTTAATCTTATAGTGAAGCTTAGTAAATCTACATGTTTAAAGATTATATTATTTAAGTTCATAAGAAACATAATATATGAATAAAAAAAATATTGAATATGTTGTGCATTGTGCAGAGTTTGGTTACAATAAAGATAGTGGAAATGGGCCCGAACACTGGGGTGATATTAAGGAAGAATGGGCAGCCTGTAAAATAGGGCAAATACAGTCTCCTATTGATTTGTCCAGTAAAAGTGTGCAAGTGATCCCCATGTTAGAGGGGCTCAAGTACTGGACTTATAACCCTCAACATGCTACTGTCTTGAACATCGGTAATGTTATTGCAGTAAGTACAAACCTCATCTAAAACCCTTACAGTTAACTACACTCCTAATTCATCCACAATTATTGCAGTTAATGGATGGTCATAAATGTTAGGATCAGAGTACCAGCATAAATACACACAACTAAAATAGAGACGAGAAAAATAACCCTGACAATAGGCAAAAATGGAAATTTTATAATGACTATTCTTTCCTTTACAATTGGAAATTACCAGTACTAGGAAAATAAAAGAGAAAGAAGGAGAGATTTGGGATGTTTGAAATAAGGGGGGAGGGGCTCCTTTTATAGGAAGGAGGAGAGCCCCCAATTGAAGTTCCCACGGATGTGGGACTTCTTTCTTCACAATCTCCCACTTGAAGATTTTGATGAAATTAATCAAATCTTCACACTATGTCTTCTTCTCTCACATCCATGTTGCTTATGCTTCCGATAGGCCATAGAGGGATCGACTCCATATAAACTTGTCAGCATTAACCGGCTTTGTCATTACATCTGCTAGGTTCTTCTCAGTGTGGATCTTCTGTAAATCTACACTTCCTTCTTCTACTACTTCTCGAACAAAATGATATCTTATTCCTATGTGTTTTGTCCTCGAATGAAAGGCTGGATTCCTTGCAATGTGTAAGGCACTTTGACTATCACAGTACACAACAATTTGTTGTTGCTTGTGACCAAGTTCCCCCATTATTCTTTTAATCCAGATAGCTTCTTTACATGCTTGGGTGACAGCCATGTATTCAGCTTCCGTAGTAGACAGAGCTACCACATCTTGTAACTTGGATAACCAACTTACTGCCCCTCCATTGATGGTAAACACATAACCAGTAGTAGACTTCCTTTTATCCAGATCACCTGCAAAATCCGAATCTACATAGCCTCTGACAACTGCTTCTGATCCTCCATAACATAATGCAACATTTGAGGTTCCTTTTATATACCTAAGGACCCTCTTCACATTTTGCCAATGTTCTCCACCAGGATTCCCCATGAATCTACTAACCACTCCCACTGCTTGTGCAATGTCCGGTCTTGTACAAATCATGGCATACATAAGACTTCCCACTGCTGATGCATACGGTACTCGAGACATTTCAATCCTCTCCGCTTCACTGCTAGGACTCATACTTGAGGATAACTTACAGTTGACAGGAAGTGGGGTAGAAATTGGCTTGCAATCTTGCATGTTGAAGCGCCGCAAGATCTTAAGTAAATAATTCTTTTGAGAAAGCCAAATCTTCCTATCTTTTCTGTCTCGGTGAATTTGCATCCCTAAAATCTTGTTTGCTGGTCCCAAGTCCTTCATATCAAACTCCCTAGCCAATTGTGCCTTCAATTCTTGGATTCGAGCTTTGTTAGGGCCTACCACCAACATGTCATCCACATACAACAGCAATATGATGAAATCATTTTCTTCAAACCTATTGTGGTAAGTACAATGGTCCGAACTTAGTCTGTAGTATCCAAGGCTAATAATGAAGGAATCAAATCTCTTATACCAACACCTTGGCGCCTGCTTTAGACCGTATAAAGATTTGTTCAACCTGCAAACCAAGTTTTCTTGCTCTTTGAAGCCTTCTGGTTGGAGCATATATATTTCCTCTTCAAGTTCTCCATGAAGAAAAGCAGTTTTTACATCCAATTGCTCAAGATGTAAATCAAATGCAGCACACATCGCCAGGACAATTCGATTGTTGTCGATCTAACAACTCGGTGAGAATATCTCGTTGAAATCAATGCCTTCTTTCCGAGCATATCCTTTTACCACCGAGTCCTAGCACGATATCTTTCCACTTGATCATTGGCATCTCTCTTGATCTTATAGACCCATTTGCAACCAATGGCTCTGCGACCCTTTTGAAGTTCCACAAGATGCCATGTCTTGTTTTTATGAAGAGCTTCAATTTCTTCTTCCATAGCGACCATCCATAGAGGAGCTTCCGAACCACTCACGGCCTCTTGAAAAGTTGAAGGTTCTCCTTCTTCACTTAGGAGACAATACGCATCATGACTTGCCATCACATATTGTGAATGCCAAGATGGTCCGACTCTTTCTCTTGTTGATCGTCGGAGTTCTCCTTCTTCCACCTCATTTGGCTCATGTTCTTCATGCTCCTCCTCTAACTCAGAGGAATGTTCCGAAGTCTTCTTCTCTATCTGTACTATAGTCTTGTCCTTTTCCAAGCTGTCATTTATCTGCTTGCTTTGCAGTTCATTTTCTGCAAAGACGACATCTCTGCTAACAATAACTTTGTGGGCGGTGGGATCCCACAAGCGATACCCCTTCACATTGTCGGCATATCCCAAGAAGATGCATTTCCTGGATTTTGGATCCAACTTCGTCCTTTCTTGGGTGTTGTACATCACGTACGCGGGACAACCAAACACATGTAAGGAAGAATAATCGGTTGATTTTCCACTCCACATTTCCATAGGAGTTTTCAACCCAATTGCTGTTGATGGAGACCGATTTATCAAGTAACAGGAAGTATTCACGGCTTCTGCCCAGAAAGACTTTGTTATGCCTGCAGTTTGCAGCATAGCTCTGGTTCTCTCTAGAAGAGTTCTATTCATCCGCTCTGCTACACCATTCTGCTGAGGCGTGTGTGGAACAGAAAATTGTCTCACAATTCCTTCTTGCTTGCAGAATGCTAGAAAATCTCCATCTACATATTCTCCTCCATTGTCTGTCCTCAAACACTTGATTCTCCTTCCGGTCTCAAGTTCTACTTGTGCTTTGAAGTCTTTGAACCGCGCAAATACTTCAGACTTCTTCTTGATAGGGTATACCCATAATCTCCTCGAGTAGTCATCGATGAACGACACAAAATATTTTGCTCCTCCGAGAGATAATTCAGGTGATTCCCGGACATCGGAATGGATCAAGTCCAAAGTTTGCTTACTCCTTGTGGTGGTTCTTGCAAACTTCAACCTGTGTTGTTTGCTTGTCACACAATGCTCACAGAAGGGTAAATCGACCTTCTTGAGCCCAGGTATGAGATCACGTTCCGCAAGAATCTGCAGACCTCGCTCGACATATGTCCAAGTCTACGGTGCCACGTTATCGCCGCTTCTTCTTGGCTTGTCGACGCAGTTGTTGCATGATTTTCTTGCAAGGTGTCTCCCATAAGCACATACAAGTTTGCCATGATTTTCTCTGCTTTCATGACAACTATGTTTCCCCTCACTGCCTTTAAGATTCCTCCTTCAACCTGGATCTTGCAGCCGAGGTCATCCAATTGCCCTATAGACAATATATTTTTCTTCAAGTCCTTCACATGTCGTACTTCTTGGATTGTGCGAATAGTACCAGTCATACATTTTTAATTTGACAGGTACCAACACCGAGCAATCTCCAATGCATGGTCATTTCCCATGAACACGGATCCACCTGAGATAGGCTTGTAGGTTTGAAACCAATCTCGGTGTGGGGTCATGTGCCAAGTTGCACCTGAATCCATTATCCACTTGTCATGTAATTCGTTTCCGCCATTAGAGCTGATTCGTTGCTTCGCTTACCAGAATTTCTCCTTCCTCTCGAAGTACTCGCAACGCAACCACTGTGAGGTTGATTCTTCATTCTTCCTCTTCCAACACTCTTTCTTCGTGTGCCCTTTCTTGCCACGGTAGTAGCATTTAAATTTGAAAGTCTTCTTGTTTCGAGAGCTAGATCTGCCATGATCTTGACTCCCACTTGAGCCACGTTCAGCTGATCTTCCTCTCATCATCGTCAAAACTTCGCTTGTTTAGAACTTTCTACCTTATTCATTCGCCTGGATTCTTCTTCTAGAATAGCTCCAGCAACATCGTCAAAGTGTAGTTGTCCTTCAATATTATTATTTGTAATGTTGATGATGAGTTGATCATACGAGTCCGGCAAGCTACGAAGTAAGAGCTCACGCACGCTCATTCTCAACTATGTTGAAATTTCTCTGCTGCTAATTGGGCAAACAAGGTGTTCGGTTGGTTGATGTGGTCAGATCCTAGATGTGGACTCACTCATCCGAAGAGTATAGAGTTTCCTCTTCGAGGAATATCCTTGTGTGAAGTGACTTCACCTCATATAATTTAATGAGGGCATCCCAAATCTCCTTTGCGAGAATCTTTCTCGCAACACTTGGATAAAGCTGAGTCCGCCATTGCCAAGTGTAAATTTGCAATAGCGTTGCCTATCAATTTTCTTCCAATCTTTATCAGTCATTTACGCGGGTTTTCCCTCAATTGCTTCTGCGCAATTGTCCTTTCTCAAGATTGCCTTCATCTTCAATTTCCACGACGAGAAATTGTTCCAGTTGAACTTCTCTATCTCGTACTTTCTTTGCCATGGTTGTGTTTCCACTTATGCAACTTTCACTTATGAATAGTATTGTCTCTTGGAACAATAGTAGTAGGCTAGTGAACCAGATACACTAGGTAAGTTCCAGGAAAGAGAGGTGAGTCACTAATGGACACACTTAAGTACCAAGTCTTTCCTAGCAGAACTTCCCAGACAACGGTTTCACACTACTACACCTTTTCCAGTAACAACTCTTTTCTGATGTGGAAGATCAGATTAAACCGCAACCACAGAGCATACTCAGAATTTTACCAACACTATTCTAGTGACTAACGCAACGGGACTCGAACGCAGCTCTGATACCACTGTTAGGATCAGAGTACCAGCATAAATACACACAACTAAAATAGAGACGAGAAAAATAACCCTGACAATAGGCAAAAATGGAAATTTTATAATGACTATTCTTTCCTTTACAATTGGAAATTACCAGTACTAGGAAAATAAAAGAGAAAGAAGGAGAGATTTGGGATGTTTGAAATAAGGGGGGAGGGGCTCCTTTTATAGGAAGGAGGAGAGCCCCCAATTGAAGTTCCCACGGATGTGGGACTTCTTTCTTCACAATAAATCCCCACATGCATGCATATATAAATTAAATATCTAGAAAACAAGATATAGGTTATCTTCAATTACAAATTATTATATATGATAAAGTCATTAAAGTCTTAAATATAATGGTTGCAGGTGGTGTGGAAAGGGGATGCAGGCTCAATTGACATAGATGGAACACGTTTCCCCCTCGTACAAGCCCATTGGCACTGGCCCTCCGAACATACCATCAATGGCCGGAGGTCAATCACTTCTTATAAGTTTCTTTCTTCTCAAGCATAATGGTCCAAATGTTTCATTTTTTAACTCGATCTTTTTCAAGTATAAGTGGTTCTAATATTGGTGATTAATATGATTAGGTATGACTTGGAGTTGCACATGCTTCATGTTAGCCCGCAACCTGATGGAACAAACAAGACAGCTGTTGTTGGTATTTTGTACAAGTACGGTTCCCCTGATCCATTGCTCTCTAAGGTACGTGCAGTAACATTGACGATCAACAAAGAAAGAAGAAGAAAATGCATTCTGTATATGAAATCTTGCATGTATAATAGATAGATATGTTTATCCATTAATTTCAGTTGGGAGAATACATAACGGACATTCCTGAAAAGAACCAAGAGAAAAGCGTAGGGGTGATTGATCCCTCAGAATTCATAAAAGGTAGCAAGATGTACTACAGATACAAGGGATCACTCACTACACCTCCCTGCACTGAAGGCGTCATTTGGACCGTTCATAATAAGGTATATATATTTTATTCATTATCCTTCTTATTCATGATTAACTATCATTAACTACCATTATTACCTTCTAATTATTACGTATTATTTTACCTGATTTCATTAGATAAGAACTGTTTCAAAAGAACAAGTGAAGTTACTGGAGGATACGGTACTTAAATATGTAAGTAAATTGAGAAATTTAGTTTTGTTTGATCTGACAATCCATTAAGTAGAAACTGAGAAATTAATGTTGATTACTTAATCTTCCACAGTATGCTAAAAGGAATGCAAGGCCACTGCAGCCCCAAAATGAGAGAGAGATACAACTCTACGTCTCAAAGCCAAAGAATAAGCCTCAGCATTAGTTTGGGCTTTGTTCTAATTTTGTATTTGTTTTAAATTGATTTGTTTCTGCATTTGTTATCAGTTCATTCATTCATGGATAATAATATAACAAGCGTTTTCCCGAATGGAAGCGCATGAAAGACAAATAAATATTTTTCATTGTTTCTTTCCTCGATTTGTTATTTATTATCTAGATCGCGCTTTCTAAATTAAATTACTGATATTATGCTTTTTTTAGTTAATTCATTTCCTCAAACTTTCGTAGCAAAAAAATACCCTCTAACTTTTAAAATAAGTAATTGATTTCTTTCATTAATAATTTTATACTTGGAAGCATTTATCTTGAGAAAATTAGAATTTGAAGGTGTAGAAGGAGATCAACGAAAAAATAAATTTGTTAAATTTTAATTAAGAAGATTCAGTTAACTCAATTCAGAAATATTCGAGATTATAGAGATAAAAAAATGTATAAGTAAATAAAGAAAAAAGAAAGAAAGGAGAAAGTAATAGATGCCAAAAATAAAATGTTAGAAAATAGGAGAAAAAAAGTAGAAGAAAAATAAACAGTAATATTATAGTTAAAATAAAATATCAATTTCTTCTAAAGTCAACAACGTTCATTAATAGGTAACTAATTTGTAGTTACCATTTAATAAATTTAAAGAAGAAAAAAAAACCTGTCACAAGTCACAGCATTCGATTTTATATTAGAATATTTTTCTCTCCAAACTTTCAAAATCTCAAATACATAAAGCATAACAATTAGTCGCAACACTCAGTTTTTCTAAGTTTATTTGAAGGTCTATTTCGTTTAAATTAAAAAATTAAATAAGAAGTCACATAATGAATACAGAAAAAATATTTTTCTTTATTCAATAATAAAGAAAAATATTATTTTTTATTTAGTCTATATATATATATATATATATATATATATATATATATATATATATAAGAAAAAAATCAAAATCATACCTTTTTCATTTTTTTAAAATACATATGTTGATAATTTTCAAAATAATCAAATTACTTAATTTTAAAATAATTTATTCATTTTAAATAATAATTTTTTTATATATCATTTTCTCTTTAAACAATCAATTGCATTTTTTGTTCTCTTTATATATTTTTTTAAATCCTTTTTTTTAGTTGTATCTTTTTCTTTATCATCGATCATATACTTAAATTGAAAAATATTCAGTAAATTAGATTATGTAAGCGACAATTTATTTTCTGAAAAATATATTAATCATATTAAGTTTAACTAGATTAGGTTTTCTCTGAGAAAGCAAAAACCTACATTAGGTCTTTAAATACATCTGAATGAAAGGTCTAGCTTATTAAAAACTTGTTTGATGGAAAATTACTACAGAATCTGATAGGATATGAACGTAATATAATAAGACAATATTAATAACTTAAAATTTATCCCATGTAATACCTAAAAAAAAAAAATCAAACTATTATAAAATATAATATAATTATGTTCAAATAACAAAATTACTGTTTGCTTTGTACTCTTAACCGTCCAATTCATCTTAAGTTTTTAATATCAATATTAACTGCATGAATTTCCAAACTAATTTATGCACTCTCACTTTCATGTTTAAATTTTCAATTGTAATTTATATTTTCAAGTATTTTTATTTTATCATGTAATCCTTTAATTGAATAAATTAATCGAGATTAGATTAATATTTTTATTAATAAGAAGATGATCGTAAAAACATTCTCGATGGAGATGATTCAAGCTCTTCTTTTTTGTTGAAAATGTCGTATTTTCCCTCCAATTAAAGACAAATGAAACTATGCATGCCACCATCAAAGGCCATTATTTGATGATCACAATCTTCGCCACTTCACCCCACATGATTATAATAAAGTCAAAAAGGTGTACATAAATTGTGGCAGTGTGTAGCAGTGCTTTGCATGTTAGTCAAACCTCAATTCCAAATATTATCATATTTACTACAAATTTTATATAATTTTTCATATTTTGTTATCATGGAAATCATCTTCATCTCTTCTTTCTTTTACAAGTTTTGTGCAAATGCTCAATTTGTAAATAGTTATGAATGATAAGTGGTAATTATAATAACGTGATAGACAAAATGTAGGATATAATTATCACTTTTACGACCACCATAAACGTTGCTTCAAATGTCAGTATGTCATGTCCATCAAGAACCATGTCCTCTATTTTCCTTAATGGCTTCGTAATTCAACCCCAGAATGAGAACTCACGTTGAAAATTACTCTTTGACGCATATGAAAATTATAACTACGTCCTACGTAAATGTTATTGGATAATGCATAACAGACAAAAACCTTTAATTATAATGTCATATAACTGCTTTATGTTCCACCATCTCACAGCATTGAATCTTTGAGGGCTCTGAACATACATGTTGTGCCTCATTTTCTTGAGTACATGGAGAAAAGAAACTATTTGCGTCTCAAAGTCTTCAAATATGAAAATTTTCTGCATTCAATGATTGAGTATTTTATATTTATTATCTACAGGTCACAACAACATATAAATTTGAGTAACGTAATTGTCAAAACCAAGACACATCCATTTTGAAATTTAGTAAATGGGGAAGGCCCACATTTGAGCTAAGGTAAGACTAAAGAGGGTGCCAAACTGTCCCACAAAATACTAACAGTATAAATAAAGAGCCTCTCTCTGGCTGATACAGAGTTTTTTTTTTTTTTTTGCCTACTTTACATGTTAGAGACGAAAAGAATATATATGTGAATGGAATATGCAGCACATATTTATTTTACTTTCAAAACATGCAAACTTCCGGCGCATAATTCTCTTGCAAAACCTGCTATAAAAGCTATTTTATATGTGCTTCAAAACTTCAACAATTTATAAAGGTTTTGTGGGATAATATCTATAAAGACGATGCTTTACCAAGCAAGATTACTATCTAGTTCATATAGATTCGTATATTATAGTTTCGACTTACATTTTCTTTTGTGGCAACTTACGACCTTTTTCTTTAATGTTGGGGCCACAACATGTCCATGAAAAGGAAAGGTTGAATAGATAGTGTATGTATGCACACTCAAGAAACTTTATATAACTATAAGGATAAATAAGTAATTAAATGGATAATAAGTAAGAGAAGCAGAATTATTAATAAATTTGTATTTTGTCTCTGCATTGAAAATCAGTGGCTTGTTACGTGGATGCTTGAGCTTTTAACCATGCCAAAATGTCGTAACCTGTGCTGCTCATACGTAGGTATATAGATAGGTCTAAAAGTCAAAAGCCTACTTCATCTTCTTCCATGCATCCATCACCTTGTTACTGGTCAGATTTAACTGCAAAATCGAGTAGTACTATATTCATAAAAAATCTCCCCCTTAATTTATAATGATATTTTTCTTCTTTAATTGGTACCTTTTCATGTTTCGGTTTGTGTGGATTACAGTTCAACTAACTGTAATTATATTCAACTTAACCTAATCCATCAATCACTCGCATTACTTGCTACAAAGTGCAAAGCTTTCACTCACTACTGGTTTAACGGTTCGTTTGTTATCATAGAAAGAGGTGAGAGGATACAAAAACAAAGAAATAAAATAATGATACAAGTTTGTTACAATAAAAATGCAAAGAAAGTTAATGAATCCTATTTAAAATTGTTTTCATCCAAGATAGAGTAGAAATGGGAAGAAAAGTTGTGTTTTTACTGCTTAATTGGTTGCTGCGCAATTGATTTAAGTGCTTTTACACATCTAGCATGTATATAATAATAATAATAATAATAATAATAATAATAATAATAATAATAATAAAATTTTTCTTCCAAATTCTGTTTTATGTTTATGTTTTGGGAATGTGGATATGGTGATGGGAGTAATTGATGATGATAACCTTGTTTTGGAACAGTGACAGTGTCTGTCCCGCAAACGAATGAAGAGACCATTTCCTCGAGAGCAGGGTGATTCCTTGACAATATGCGCAACCCTTTCTCCTTCTTCTCTCACTCACTGCTCCCTTTTTTGCCTTTTTCCTTCAATAAATTAATCAAAAGAACCTCTACAATCATTATTTTGCAGCACCACCGAATATGGTAAAAATACCATACCCACACACACTGATATATAGCTTAATTACCCACCAGGTATAATTATAATTATACACAAAAGTTTGTGTATTCCCTGCTTCTGTTCACACTCAACCTCGTTCGATAGTTTGCAATCACTCACTTTCCCTGCTTATTAATTCACCTAACCTAACACTAGCTAACACTTTTGGACAACTTGCCATGGCACAGTAAGTAGCAACTCCGAGAGTGACTGAAACTGAGAGCATTGAGAAACAAAAAACAACCCTTTCTTCATCCACAATGCTCCAGACAACCTGCATTTTGCTACTCTCACTTCTCAGCTCTTTTTCACCACTTGGAATAGCAATGCTTAACTTTACTCTTCCAGGGGCACATCCAGACCCCGAAGCAGTTGCCCACGAAGTTCATAGGTGCATACATTCATACTATATACTAAAAATATGCTCATTATCGTAGTTCAACTCAATAATGTAGTTAGTTTCTATATTATTACATAAATATAGAGTAGATCTGGGAAAAGGGTGACGTTTCTACATTATTACCTTGTATTGAGTATTGGCTACTGATCCTTTTTATTTTTTCTTGTGTAGGAAGGTTAATGCTTCAATTGCAAGAAGGGAAATGTTATCAATGTCAGAGAGAGATGAATCTTCGTGTCTAACGGGGAACCCCATTGATGATTGCTGGAAATGTGACCCAGATTGGCCCAACAACCGGCAGAGACTAGCTGACTGCGCCATCGGGTTTGGTCAGTATGCAAAGGGAGGGAAAGGTGGTGAATTTTACGTGGTCACTGATTCCTCTGACGAGGACCCTGTGAACCCTAAACCTGGGACGCTAAGATACGCTGTGATACAAAATGAACCACTGTGGATCGTGTTCCCCAGTAACATGATGATTAAGCTGTCTCAGGAGCTGATTTTTAACAGCTACAAGACCATTGATGGACGCGGTGCTGATGTGCACATTGTGGGAGGAGGCTGCATTACCCTGCAGTATATAAGCAATGTCATCATACACAACATTCACATCCATCACTGTCATCCCTCAGGTCTGTTGTTTTCCTCAAGATAATACATTGTGGATTGAATGAGAATAATAATGACACAAATTGGAAGGTAATTTTCCCAGTAGGCACATTTTTGGTTTTATCCAGTGGAATCCCCTTCTCAGTGACCAAGTCTCCCGGTGGCTTGAAAAATAGATAAAGCTGTGCTTGTTTTGTGGAAGGATTTTGGAAAAAGTTATAAAGTATTTCAAGATTAGTTTTGTTTTTATAGTTGAACAACTTTAAAAAAGAAATTGTTTTAAATATTCAAATCAATACTTTTTTTTTTTTTTTCATGAGGTGAGAAACCCTTTTTTGCACAACATTGGTAGGTAGGGACTCATTACATCACACTATCGGTTTGGATAAGTTACTCTAATATTCAACGAACTTTAATGTTAATCCCTATACTCATATTTGTACCAGTAGCAATTTTAGGGTTGATTCCTGCGTTTAAACTTGTTACCTACACTTAATTTAAATGAAAAAAATGGTATTTAATAATGATCATGATGGATGATGGAAAGAAGAAGGGGTTAAAGATCTAAAAAATGGGTGGTGCAGGGAACACAAACGTTCGGTCAAGCCCGGAGCACTACGGGTTTCGGACAGAATCGGACGGGGACGGAATATCGATATTCGGGTCGAAGGATTTATGGATCGACCACTGCACGCTGTCGCGGTGCAAGGACGGGCTGATAGATGCGGTGATGGGGTCGACAGGCATAACCATCTCGAACAACTACCTCTCCCACCACAACGAGGTGATGCTCTTAGGCCACAGCGACGACTACCTCCCAGACTCCGGCATGCAGGTCACCATCGCCTTCAATCACTTCGGGGAGAAGCTGGTCCAGCGAATGCCCCGCTGCCGGAGGGGCTACATCCACGTCGTGAACAACGACTTCACCGAGTGGGAGATGTACGCCATCGGGGGCAGCGGCGAACCCACCATCAACAGCCAGGGGAACCGCTACATGGCACCCCAAAACCCCTTCGCCAAGGAGGTTACGAAACGAGTGGACACCCAACAGTCCAAGTGGAAGGGGTGGAACTGGAGGTCCGAGGGTGACATTTTGCTCAACGGTGCGTTTTTCGTTGCGTCTGGTGAAGGACTAGAGGTTAAGTACGAGAAGGCCTACAGCGTCGAACCTAAGTCTGCTGATCGCATCTCTCTTCTCACCATGTCCTCTGGTGTTCTTGGTAATGCCAGGTATGAATATGAATGTATCTCCTTGATGTAATACTATCAAATTTTTTGTTCATTTGTCACTGAAAGTGGACTCACCATGAACAGGGACAACAACCTCGGAATGTGGAGCAGAGGGCCTGGTGATGACGGTACGGAGTCCGGCATGGAATACACCGACGACATGTCCACCACTGCAACAATCCTTCTACCCTCCTTTTTTCTTCTCTTTATGTCTTACACGATACTCTTGACGGTTATTCTATAACAAAACTAACCATGATTCGATGATATAGCGTCTGCAATGTAACGTGACGCCCTTTAGTTTTTCTTTTCATTGGAATCAAAACGGTCTGCTCCTCAAGTCTATCTATGGATCAGGCTAAATTAAGACTGTATATATTCTTCTTCACTTTCATCGTTTTCATTTGCTCTCAACTTTTGCAAATCCATCATCACCAATAGCGCTGGTTTTTGGTGTGACAACCAAATTTAAACTACAAAACGAAGCATCGGATACAAGTGTGTTGTTCCAGTTACGCTTCAAACTATGTTATGCTTTTCAAAGTAATGCAATCCATATCGCATGGCATGGAGCGAATAGGGGAGAAATATGAATTCTCAGAAATAGTTTGTAATTGGCATTAATGGGCTGGGAATAAGTACCGTACAAAAATATCTCACATTCCAATTCTCTTTTACTTACAAAGTGAGCCATATTTTACAGTCACTCTGCTTGTCTATACTTCTCATTCCTTACAAAAAATTCAAATTGCATATAATTCATCTCTTGGCCACGCACGTACTATCAACGCTCTATGAATGATTTGTTCATTAGCTCAACGGCATCATCCATGAACTGCATGCATAAAAACAACTACGTCAATCATAACAGCTCATCGCACATTTGCAATTGCATGTCTCACCTATACACATCACCTCCAATATCAAACAATAAATAGACAAATTATCAAATAGCAAGCCGAAGTATTCCAGCCAAAGATGACAGAATGCAAATTAAGGTAGTTTGAATATCAAGGAAGGTCCCATGGAAAGCACTAGAATGAAGAACTATGGCCTTTAATATACTGAAGAGAAGAGGCCAAGAAGGTCAATTGGGGAATTTGGTATAGAAGCAAACAACATCTCTGAAACTTTGCTCTTTAACCCAACCAAATGACATTGTGGTCAGTGGACTGAATGTCAATATATGACTCTACACAATATCTTATTAATATATGATTATCTCATTTTATAGTGGATCAATATATAAATTAAGGGGTAGAATATTTTCTTGTAAATTTAGAAAAATGAGAGTGTAATTGCACATCCTCATATATTCAGTTTAACTAGTTCAGTAGAAGCATACAATGACAATGTGATGCATTTTTCCAAGAGAATAAAAGGACATTGTAGCCAAATTTCCCGGATATAGTACCCACTTGAACCACACACATATACGGATATTCTGCATCGAGGGTATACTGAATAAGAAAGCAATTTCACTCAAGCTACTCCTATTTCTCTCCCTCTAAATTCTACATCAAATGATACAATGCAATTAATATCATTTCAACTTTCAGAAGTGCAAGGCCACATATATTTCCATCAGCAACAATGTTTTGTTCCTGATTTTCTTGGCAAATCAAAGCCTAAAGATAGTGGATTTGAAGTTGCTATTTGAATGCAGTATATCAATTGAGAATATGCAATTAAATCTATATGAAATATTCCCCATTTCATCAATATCAAATGCAAACTACTCATAAGTTTAACATCAGGAAGGGCCAATAGTTTCCTCTGCATTCATGAAAAATATAAAAAGACTTTACCTTTCCAAGCATCTTAAGTTCTCGCCCAACTGGTTCCAAAAACTTCAGGTCAACATGGATTGGCCAGACCTGTCATGACAAGAAGACAAAAAGTTAAAACTGAATCTCTATGCTGAAAACAATATATTTAAAAAGAGCATAACCCTAAAAGAAAAATAAGTACTAGAGAAGATTTAAATATAAATTAGACGGGGGAAAACATATAAACAGTGTAAGACAAAAAAAGCTTGGCATCAATGAACACAACAAGATTTTATATTACCAAGACAGGACAAAGATACAGCGCCTCTGGCCCATTAAAACAAAAAATTAACAAAAGCATTCTTAAAGAACAAGAGCAGATTACTCCACCCTCCTTTCTCTTTTGCATTTCTAATCTTCCTAAAAAACCCATCTATTTCATAAATATGATACACTTAAACCCAAAACTTTTTTCAATAAAACAAAATTAATAGAAATAGTCTTATTATAGATTTTGACTAATTACACAAAATCCCATTTTATATCTTAAACACTATTCAAACTAACTTCTATTTTATATACATTTACAATTAAAAACCTCCACAATAGTAAAAGATTGAGATTATTAAAATCTAAATGATAAAATTTCACGTTAACAATGAAATAAAATACATAATAAAAACATTATTTTATTAACCTAAAGAGCAAGGTTGATAAATGGAACGAATTTACCTGGCATGCCATGACCAATTAAAACGAAATGGTCAAATTCAATTAAAGTTAACAAAGTCAAGTTACTATTACTTTTTTCAATAACAAATGCAGGAAACAAATTTTGGCATGCCCAGAAAAAGGCGAAATATTAATACTGACTAGATTAGTATTCCACGACACATTTTTTTCACTGATGCTCAAATATTTTGGAAGAAATGGGAGAGAAGTATTCTGGTTTCAGAGACAGATTTGAAAGAAAAGTATCCTTTGCCAGTTCTTTCTGTTACTGGTGGAGAGCCTTTGATAGACAAGATTCAAAATACAATGCAACAGGAACCATGAGGTGTATTGTCATGTCAGGAAACTTTTTAAAACATAAAAGGTAATCATCAATATCATAACAAAATTGAAGACATGAAAGAAAAACTAAGATATATAATGTAGAAGAATATGCCATATATCGAGTAAACAACATAGAGGATCTGAGAGGACGAATGATAATATTTGTAAATTGTATTTAAAAGTTCTGAGGCGTATGCATCAATGTAAATAATTTTTGTGATAGGTGTTCGGCAACATAAACAACAGCCAAACTCTCCCATGCATTAACAAAACAACCAAATCAAAGAGTACCGAGTTCGAAAACTCAAAGAAGAGCATTAACTGTGTGAGTATTTTGATTGAACGATACACAAAGGTTGAGATTCTGGAGCCAAAATACTCACTGGACTTATCCACAAATGTTAATACCAAGCATATTATCAGTGAAAAACAGTTAATCTAGGCAACGTGCTATTATCCATCAGTCCTTCTCGTTCGTTTGAGAGACTAATTAGTTTTAAATGCAAAGTTGGAACTTCCATTTCAGTTTTCCCAATAGAAGCATGAAGCTTGCTAAAGCATTTTCTTGAATTACCCATCAATCAATCACAGCTTCCGTTCCACACAGCACAAAAGCTAGATCTTTTAAAGGAGGCAAAAATAAATAAAATGTATTCAGGGAGGCAAGACATAGAATTCACTTTTTTTTTAGGTTAAAAAGCTCCTCAACATATGATCTATCTTTGTTTTGAGTACCAAATAAATTATTTTTTCAAATTAGGCACCTAATAAATTATAAAATTTTGGTTTAAGCATGTCAAAAGGGTATTTATTTTATTTTTTTCCCTATTATTAGTTTGCCTCTTTGAATTGATTTTTGAAATAGTTTTATATTTTTCTTCTGTTTTCTCAACTTATTTTGTATCATAAAAACTGATATTGGTTTTTTTTTTTCCATCAAGTGACCTAACGTGTTTCAAATAAATAAAACGAATTTATATATATTGGGTCGAACGAAAAAATAAATGATATATTACTATTAGGGATCTAAAACATATTTTATCTGTCTTCAGTCCGTCCCTAGCATTGCAAAATAGTCCTAGTATAACGTGAATTAACAGTGGACAACACAAAATTGAATTACATACCAAGTGTTGAGTTTTATCGAAACATTGTTATATCAATTGCTTTTTCCGAGTTCCTTCATAAAAAGAGTGATTCGAAATCCGCGAAAAGCCACCGATAAGGTTAAAAAGGAAAGATTGGATGTGATAAGAACCGAAAAAGCACTTGATTAGGCAGAAGTAATAAAAATGGAGTTGTGATAGAAAAGTTGGAAGATGAAGAGAAAGAAGAGAACCTGAAGGCCAAGTAATTGGAGGGGCATTTTCTGGCCAGGTACGAGGCAGTCAGGACCAGCTGCTTCCACTATGGCCTCATCACCCAATCCACTCCCTATAGGGTCTGGATGCTGAGAAACCACAACAATTTCCCAAAATATATAAAGGTTTATTGAAACGTAACGATGAAAAGGTAAAAAACAAATAGCGAGAGAGAGAGAGAGAGAGAGAGAGACCCTCATGACGGAGACGGCGTAATCGGTGGCGGGTGTTTGGGAGACGCAAAGAAGTGGAGAGTGGTGAATTTTGGGGAGGGGTTTCATAGAAGAAGAAGACGCTCTCCATGGCACGTCCTTTTGAAACGAAGAGCCGCTTCCTCCTTTTTTCGACATTTCCACTTCCTCCTCTCCTGCTATACTCTTCACACAGACGTCATATGATAAACCAAGTTATGATAGACACAAATATATGATTTTCATTTCCTCTCTTTTCGATTTTATCTTTTTCAATTTTAAAACAAACAAACAACTTTTTATAACCTAATAAACGGCATGTCGTGTAAGTAACATTTTTCATAAATATATTCACTAATTATGTTAAGTTTATTGAAAAAATTAATAATTACAATGTTTTTTTATAAATGAACTATAGTTTTTCGAATTATCAGTCTTCTTCAACGGAGATAATTTGTCATATTGATCTTTTTCTGTAAACATTTTTATGCAAAAAAATATTATTTTTAATTAATCAAAATAAATTAGTTTCTCAATTACTATTTATTATTTCTTTTTACAATTTAGTAAGAATATGTAATTTTATATATACATGTCAACTTACCCTTGACCTTTTAACTTTATATCAATAACTCAGAAAATTTAAAATAAATGTATATCAACTTAGTCGTTTTTATTTTCACTTTAACCAAAGTGATAAATGGATTAATACAAATTATTATCTATATAATTAAATTTATAAATTAAACTGTACATAATATTAAAAACTAATAAATTAAATTTATAGGAACTACATTGCTAATTTATTTATTATTCCGAGGTTCCAATTCTCAAGATAACTCTAGACTCACCACTAAACCATTAATTCACCACTTAATCATTTTAACTCTGATTATAGAATAAAAAAAAAACTTAGAACACATTTGTAAGTATAGCAGGCTAATCAACCACATCTATAAATTTAAAAATGTTTTATTGGACATTTTTAATCTTTAAATTTGTAGTTTATATCAAATACTTTTAACTATAAGTAAAACTATTCGCTAATTCATGTCCTTTTATTTTAAAATATTTTTAACTATAAAAATAACATTATAGAAGATTGAAGTTTCTTGAATTAATCTTTTTAAAGGTTTTATTTAATAGCGTATTTACCCAATTTTTCATTTTTTTATATAAAAAAGAGTAAAACAAGGAGTGTAAATACATTGTCATAGCAACTCCAATGAGTTATTTATATGATTCCTAAAACCATTTCTTTCTTGAGTGCACCTTCGGAGTATGATGGGCCTATCCCTGAGAACCATTCAAATAATTACGTGCAGGAATCAAGTTCTTAAGATTAAAATAATAACTTTCTAGTACACAAAAGCATGAGTAAAAAGAGATAAAAGATGAATCTAAAACAGGAATATCAACTTCAAAGAGAAACAATCAACAGTTACATCAATAGGAAAATCAACTCCCCCAAAAAAATCAAATATCAATGCAACTAAGAGAAGTGGTGATGGGCGTTCCAGATCCATAACAGGTAAATCTCCAACCGCTTTGATCGGAGATCCAAATTAGGGGAGTACTGCTCATCAATGGTGGGTGACATTGAACATGTTTGCGGCACTGATTGAAGGCAACCTTGCCCTATTGTATAAGTAAATCACCATCCCTTTTATATGATACGTCATAACTGCTTCATACCAGGGAGACGCCACAAAACTCGCTCCACACAAAAATTAGTGCCAAACCAAACCTGCCCTAGATTGACTAAAAAATGCCCCCATTCAGGTACCCTACTTCTTGTGCCATAAACACAAAGGGCACTAGAATTTGTTAGCAGAAGGAAAAAAATTATACGTATTTCTCTCTGTAAGTGAAAAAAAAAAAAATACATGAAAGTATTTAATTAAACATTCTTAATCTGCAGACATTGCTAACAACGTCTAACTGATTATCCAACTGCACTTTAAGTTACATTAATCACTGCTTTCTTCAATTTGCTGATTATCCAACTGAGAAAATAGAGAGGAAAAAGAAATTAAGTGGGAAAGAAAGAAACCAATAAATAATGGCACCCAAAATGGCAAGGAGCACATATAGTTCTTCACCGATTTAATTCACAGTCCCAGTTACGGCAGCAGAGTAATTTGACTAAGCTGTGACCATATCCACCCCATTCTGTGCAGCTGCCTCTGCCAGTCTTTTCCAATTCAACTCCCGCTGCTCTTCTAAATCTTTTGCTTTAGCCTCCCTCTCTGCATACTGTCTCTGGCACTCTTCAAATAAATCTGCATCCATTTCTAGGAACATTTTCTGAACATTCACGGTCAGCCCGTGAACAGCCTGGTTCCAATGACTCTGGACATTTTTCTCCAATGCTTCAAATATTATGGGTAATACTACAGTCCTGTTTTGGGCAATTAAGCTGACAATGTGCTCATTGTTCCACAAAAAGAGAGTTCGTTCTGCAACCTGAATTGCAAGGTATGCTTAAGCATATAGAGTTCTGAAGACTTATTCAAAGCTAAATATATCAATAGATCAAGTACAATAGCACATATAAAATAAAGAGAGAATTCCAAACAATCAGGATTATCAATTTCGTATTTTGATTATGACTTGAAAGATAAGATTTGTAAAAGATGATCACAGAATCAAATAAAAAAATGAACCTGAAGACAATTCTGGATCCTATAATGACAAAAGACCACAATGATAGCACCTTAATGGAAGAAATATTCGAAGATCACCTTAAATATTCTTAAGGTGAGAAACCCACTTCCTGGCAAATGTACGCTACTGTTCTATCCACAAGCACTAGATGATTGTGGTCAAGACCCTGTTAACCTTCACGTCTTCCCCTTCTGATATTCTTATGCTCAAATTATCATTAATATCCAATATCGCATTTGGAATCTTGACCACAAAGATTTAGTGCTTAGAATCTTGAAACAGGAGAACTGTGTCACTCCTCCCTCCCTGTCTTATGTTTTAAAAAGTAAAGCCGAACTTTTGCATCCAAGAATGAAAGAAGTGCATTGAAGGGAAGTATAAAGTTTATATACACATCCCCATGGCTTTCTGCTAGCTTTCTGTGTAACTTTGATTATTCCCAAGCTGCAGTACCAAATGGCATGAAAGGCATATCCATAGAAATGCTACTAAATCAAATTCTTTCTCACTTGGCATATCCATACAAATACAAAAGACCACCCCTAATTGTATTCATTTTGCAGATTATATAATTTTGATAGAGAAATCAATGGAAGTAATTTACATAAAGCTTGAACTTTGGCGTCAGACCAAATGTTTCTATTTTAAAGAAGTGCCCCTCGGTAAAATTACTCTCAAACTTCTGATTCAGAAATCTGATTAATTGCATTTTGGTGAAGCTGAGAAACTTGGTGGCAGTTTTGGTAGTTAAGAAAATTCAACGATATTTGCCAAATGTCAAATGTTTTAAGCGGGTAACACAGGTCAAAGTTGAAGCAAGTGTTATTTACATTTAAGCCAAAACAACATTTCCAGATGCCAGCCCAGCATTTATAAGAAACCAAGAGACAATAGTTTCAAAATTCCACATAATGTTGAATCTAATGAAATGCATGGTTATGATAATTGTTATAACTACCAGTACCTTGTTGAGAGCAAAATAAATGAAGGAAAAAGATGAGTTGCAAGTATAATTTATGCTTTACATACACATTTATTGGCTCAATTGAAAAAGTACTTCTGATTTAACAAATAATCTATTTTACCTTGATTTAACAACATAAATTGCATTAGGGCACTAAAAATTCAAACCAAGTGTTGAGATTGACAGTTTGGGAGTCACGTACAAGTCATATGAACATAAGACTAATGGGCTTTAAAACAAATTATCTAACAAGTCAAATCACGCCAGATTTTGTTTTACGTACATCAATTTCTTCCTCAAGGATTTAGAATTTCAGCATTCTGAATCAAGTTTTACAATTTTATTTGCTTCCCAAACTTGGAATTTCAGCGTTATGATTCAAGTTTTACAATTTTATTTGCTTCCCAAACTTGAATTATGGGTAATTCACTGATTGAACAATTAGCATATTAGTTTGAAGTTTGAGTCAAATTCATCATTAAAGCTCTGATTTATTGGGTGCTAAGTTTCTTTCTCAAATAAAGATTTTCAGTAGCAAAATTAACAGTATTTTCAGCAAGTGGTAGTGAGGAAAATGAGTGTTTATAACCACCAAGTAAAAAAAATGAGTTTGGTGAAGTACAACAATGTACAAATCATAGCAAGAACCTCACCAAAATAATAATAAAAATAATTGTAATATTAAGAGAAAAACAAATCTGTAACTCAAGATTTCTTAAAAAATGTACAAATCAAATCACAAACTTCACTATACACTTACTAAACAGAAAATTTACAACAATCACAGCGTAAGCCACCACCATTTTTTTTTTTTTTTCTTAATCTGAGGTTTGTAACCACTTTTTGGTCTAGACTAGAGGTATCCTCCATTGGAATAAATCTTGTTAAGTCAGAAACATCCACAACATGATGAGGATAGTTCTCCAGAAATAAATTTATACATACACAAGGCTTGAACCCAAAACTTTGGTTAAGGGAAAACAAGTATGTAAGACTAGAAATAGCCTTTTAACCATTTGAAAGATATAACATACATTACAAGTTTCATAAAGTAGATAGTTAAATAATGATCATCAGTTGAACCTCAATTATGACTAACTTTGCTAATTCAACTTTAAGCTTCCACGCAGAGCAAAAATGAATTTATAACCTCTGTATGTAAGAAAATTATGTGCATCTTCTTGAATTTGAATTATGACTTAACTCAACCTTAAAAGCTATCCCATTATATGGGGATTTCCTAATTCTTTATAAGCCTTACGTTTACCATATCTATAGTTAATGGGCGATGCCCGACCCCTATGCCCAATTGTACAAATAGAGCTTGGAGATTATTCGATCCGTATTTTTTTACTGCACTAGGAAAGCCACTAGGGCTGATTTTTTTATATTGGACAAGGAAATCTACAGAATAGGTAAATTGCACTTAAAAAGTCGCAGGGCTAGGCAGATTTAGAACATTTGAGGGTGTCATTTAAGTGACTTGTTACGGGAAGTCAATTAAGTGAGATAGATTACACTGATAGATAATTTTGGCTTCTCCCCATCAACCAACACATCATTATGCTACAAATTGCAAAACCACAACTGAACTATCCAAAAAACTGGGGTGAATAAATGGATTAGAAAATCACAGTGTAGTTTAGGACCTAAAGGAGGCGACAGTTTAGTAACTAACCTAGTACCTAGGTGGCTGAACCTTGTATTACCCTTATTATTATACCATATACAGGACCAAATTAGATGTGGCTTCATAATCAAATAAACAGTTGAACAAATTACACATTCATAACCCGTCTACCCAAAGGAAAGGGAATGTTAAAAAAAGGCTTGCACTAACTCCAGCAAAGGTGATGAAAAACAATTCCACACAAACCTGAAAGTGAGAACTATTGAGGCAGCGGGCAACCTGTCTAAAAAGAGGGACCATGCAGCGTTGGAATTCCGCCGCTTGCGTGGCCTCCAGCACCTCCTCAAGTTCCCCAAGGAAGAGAACCTCCTTCTGGCAATTAGTCACAGGCCAATACTTCAACAAGCCCCTAATGACTGTATCTGCGAGCTTGTAATCCTTCTCCACAAACTGCGCAATGCAATACGACAACTGCTGGTGATACACACCAACCGGCTTGGGCTTATGCAGAGGCAGAAGCGCCCTCGATAGAAACAACTTATGTTCTTCCTTCATCGGCAGTGCAAAGCCATTAATAATGCTCCCCAGAATCTCAAGAAGCTCCCCTATACCACTATGCCGCTCCGTCTCATATATAAACCGAAAAAATATGTTGTTAATTGCCTTCCTAATAAAGGGGCGATGAACCATGAATTTCCCGTACACGCGATGCAGTATGGTTTTTAAGTACTCACGCTCACGTGGGTCCTCAGAGCCAAACAAATCAAGCAGTTTGAGGACAAAAGAATGATCAATGTACCGTTTCGCAACCTTTGTGTCAGTATCAGAGGAAACGACGTATCTCAGGAGAAGCTCGTAGACGAGCTGAAGGTGCGGCCACGCGGGCTCGAGGCACGGCTCCTCCTCCTCCGGATCGGTGGCTTCCTGCCCGGTGTTTTCGTGCCCGGCCGGCGGGAGGCACCGAAAAATGTTGGCCGAAACCATTTTGATCATCTCCTCCTGGCACGTCTCCGTTATCTTCCCCGAACCCGATTGAATGAAATCCACGAGCTCCATCAGCGTCTGCCTCTTGATTTCCTTCTCGCGAATGCACTTCAGCGTGTCCGAGAAGTCTAGCACGTGGCAGCATATCTGGAGCTTCCGGATGAAGAGGTTCTGCCGCTCCGTCACCGCCACGTCGCGGAACAGCGGTAGCGGCTCTATGGTCCCCGGCGGCGGTGGCACGACCACCTCTGGAGCGGCGACCGTGGGCATCGGACCGACGGGTGTCGGATCGCTCGGGTCCGTCTTGGAGGGCTTCTTCTGCCCTCCCTTCATTATTCGCTTGAACATTTTTGGGGAACGATGGAGGAAACCCTAACCCTAAACAAACGAATTCGGAAGAAGCACCTTCCCAATCCGCGGAAACTGCTTGGCCTCTATCGATTTTCGCATCACAACGAGACCGAATGACGACGGATCTGAGACGGAAACAACGGTCCGGGAGGATCGAAGCGGCGAATGTGCGGAATGGCGGTGGTTTATTGATCCAGGGATGCCTCCGGCTAGTGAAGGAATTGAGGAAGGAAAGAGAGTGAGAGAGTGAGTTAATAATAAGAATGAGAAATAGAATTGCATAAGGCAATGCAAGGAAAGTGAGGAATTGTATTGTAGATTACGATTATGGATTTGATTAATTTTAGAAACAAAAATAACGAGTCTTGGAATTAAATGCCAATTCAAATACTCAATTCAGCTTCAGCTTTGTCCATTACATTCAATCGTTTCTTTTTACTTTATGTTTCTCACTCTATGCTTCCTACACTATACATTTTTTGTTATAAAACATATGGTCTTAATCTCATTCTTATACTCTGCTTCAATCTTAATACTCCCCAAAATAAATATTTACTATTATAATAAATCTTGGTGCATCATAGGGCATGGGCATGTATTAAAAGTTTAAAGTAATATTATTCAAACATTCATTAAATAATTAAGGAATAAGAAGAGTGTAATAAGGCTATATATTCAAATTGTGATATAATGGTCATTTTTGTAAAAATGATTTGTTTTATATCTAAAAGTAATTTTTTTTATATCTTATAAAATATTTACTAAAAAATAAAGATTATATTGGACTAATTAGACAAATTTCTAAAAACTTTTAAAAACAAATGCTAGTTAAATTTTGTTTACACATAAATTAATTTACATTAATTCTCTAATGCAACTTCTCTGAATTTTTTATTTTTTTAACATATACAAAAACAATTCTTAATTTATAAAGAAACTATTTTTTTTCCTTCCAAAACTTTTCATAAAAAAACTTATCCAAACAAATTCTAACTATATTTCATTTCACATTGTACTCTTTAGAATATAATTAAATTAGTCAATAGATGTTTGTTTCTTGTTAAGAAATTATTATGATTGATTTATAAGTTAAAAATAACCTTTTTTATAATAATATTTATCTCAAAATAATGATTAAGATAGTTTGACCATCTTGAATACACATAATAAATATTTCACAAACCATATTTAAGTAACTTTTGTTGGATAGAAAAATTAATATTGAGTTGTACTACCAGCTTAATTTTATAATAAAAGTATTCAAACATAAATACAATACTAAAAAAAAAAAAATCTTACTATGGTTAATACTAACAACTTTAAATCAAAGTCTAAAATATAAATATCGATTTATAGTTATTAGAATTTCTAAACAATACTTTATAAAAATCTCACTTTTTACACTCTACTTATTGGGTCAACAAGTATCAAACTTACTTTAAGACAAGGATGTTAAATTGAGATTTAACATAATTATAATTGGAAGGAAAATAAAAACTTATAAGTCGGATATCTTAACTCGGATTATAAGATCATATGTTTTTCTGTCATTGGAACTATATTATTATTATTATTATTATTATTATTATTATTATTATTATTATTATTATTATTATTATTATTATTATTATTATTATTATTATTATTATTATTATTATTATATTATTATTATTATTATTATTATTATTATTTATTATTCTATCAATAGAATCATTTATTTATTTTAACTATATAATTATTATTTTGTTTATTTATATTGTACTATATGTTTTTTCAAATAGTCTATTACGTTTTTAATACTATTATATAATTTTTATTATTGATATTATCTACTTTATTATATTATATTAATAATAAGTTATGTTTTACATAAAATCAATAAAAACCGAAAACGGGTTCAAATTTTGAAAAAAAAAAATTGGGCTCAATTTATCAGAATTAATTTATTTGAAAAATAGAGAGTAGTAGGCGAAAATAACCAAACAAATTACAGAAGCGGTACCTTATCTGGTAAGCTCCAAATCAGATTTTTTTTAATTAATTATTAAACATGCCTGAAAAATAATTCTCTCCCCAACTTTTTTTTTTTAAATCTAAAGTATCAATTTACGTATGTTCAGAATTTAAAATAATTTATAAATATATTTAACACAAAATGACCTCATTATCACATTATAGGAAACAAATTTCAATAGCTTATGGCTAGGAAAATTAAAATAATATTTTTATTATTTAAGTACGCGTGTAAAAATATTTTAGATTACTAATATTCATAAATAAAATTGTTTACCAAATTGAATCCTGAATGCCCATGTACTTTAATTATTATTCAATGCAAACTCAATTTTAATAAGTTTTTTTCTTTTTATGTGCACTCTTTATATAAATTCACTACAAAAAAATATGTTATTTATAGCGGTTAAAATTGTAGATTTTAGAAGTTAAAAACCGCTACAAATAAAATTTGTAACAATTAATATAACTGTCATATTTATAGATGTCAAAAACGATTTGTAACAGAATTTTTTTAAATGTCTGGTATTTATGTCAAAAAAAAAACAAAAATTTCAACGAGTTAAAAACCGCCATAAAATACATTATTATTCTCATTTTAATTTAACATTTTGTTGCAATTTGAAATTGTTCCAAATGTTATTTTTATAATTAATTTTATATTTCAACAATTAAAAACCGCTACAAAATATATAATATTTTATAATTATTTAAAACTTATTGGAGGTTTAAAAAACCACCAAAAATTATTTAATTACTATTTTTTAATTATTTTATCAATAAATCAAAATTTTAATTATTATTTACAAATTATTTTTTAATAATTTTATAATTAATAATTAAAATACTTTTTTATTTAGAATTACTTTAAAATACCACCATAAGTGTAATAATAATTTAATCATTATAATAAAATCAATAATCTAATGAAATGTATAATATATTTTTCATTTGTTTTAATGACATAAAATATTAGTTTGATTCTCACTAAAAAATGCTTAAATTTGTAGTTTTAGATATAATTCACTTTGACAGAGTACTTAGCTAAATATAATTCAATATCAACTAAGATAAAATCAAATTTCATCCTAAAAGTCCAATAAAATTCATCACATTATTCATTAATAAAGTGTATCTAACAAAATACGATGTCAATAGATCCACAAATTTCATAACATATATGTCAAACTTAATGAAAATTACTATCTAATGAGTACCCTCCTATGATATTGACATATTTCATTCACTTGCTTCAACCTGTGAAATAAAAATAATATCATCTTAATATAGTTAAAAATATATATAAAAGATATTAAACTCCATAGAAATAATTAACAACATAATTCTATTAACACAAAATATGAAATACTTACAAATAATGTCAAACTTTATGAAAATTACTATCTAAAGAAGATTCTCCTTGTGGTGTTGACATATCTTGTCCACTCTCTTCATCCTATAAAATAAAGATCATATCATGTAAGCATAATTAGAAATTATACATAAGATATTGAACTTTATACAGGTATTGAATAATATAATTTCATTTAAAACAAACTATAAAGTACTTACAACTATATTACTTGTACTACCAAACATGACACTCAACTCGGGAGGAATGTGTCCTTCTTTCATTTGGATGTATGCAAGCATGACACTTTTTAATGTTTTGACATTTTCTTCAGAAGTTGCTAATTTTTCTCTTAAATGAATAACTTCCTCTTTCAATTGAGAATTTCTACTTGAATCGAGAATTTGAGAAATTGCACCCTGCACTTGCTAAATCTTGTGGTAGACTGAAATGCAACACTATGAAGACCTCCTAGTCCTAGACAACGTACACGCCCAGGATGATCCTTTCCCAGCACTTTACTAACACAATCATTAGCTGAAATTTACGTAAAATTGACACTTTGACTCATTTCTTATGTTATTTTCTCCTGTAAATAGAATAAATACAATTGTTTGATATTCATATTAATATTATACAAAGGAGGTTTTCAACAATAACATCAGTTTGACCACACTAAATAATACAACTTAAACACAAACATTCTATATGTTTATGATTTATGATATGATTCTGGGTAAAAATATAGAAGCTGAAACAAGACAAAGTTTACCCCATACATCTGTTGAAATATATGGTTGGAAATTGGAATCCTAGATGCAAAGCTTCAAAACCATAAGGCATATGTATAGAAAGAATATAATTTCACATGTTTAAACACATTACTTGTTGTTAAACTTACCACTATAGATCTTGCCTCCTCGTTAACATAAGATCCATTTTTTTCTTGTGAGTTGCAATGTACAATTCTCCTCGGCCTACAGACACGTCCAAGATTTATTTCCTATAATATACATGATCATATAAGTTTAGAAGAATACTATAATTTTTTTTGTTAAATTTAACAATAAAACAAAAATAATTTACCATTTTATGTTGCTTTGTAGATAAAAGTTTTGCACCACCGGTATGAGGAATCTTTTGTTTTTTTCTGACTTCAATATTTCTCTTACATAATTCCTATGAAACAAACAACTTATTAATTCAAAACTAAGTTTAAAAAATAATTATTGATAACAATTATTTGTTATAACTACCTTATATTTTGAACTTAGATGATAATCAACAAATGAAGACCACTGATCTTTGTGAATACCATTAGGAACATTAGCAATTAATTGCTCTCTTGATAATGAGCTATCATAGACTCGGTTCCACAAATTCATCTTTCCATTTCTATACTTATTTGACATGCAAAGTGAACAATATCGCTCAGCAGATTTTTCTGATGTCTGGAAATGAAATATATTCTAAAAAAAAAAGGTAATTAGTATATCATAAACCTTAACAAGAACAAAGCTGTAAATCTTGGTTTATGCATATACCTTTAAAGTGTTAAAACAATCATCCTTATATGATTTTGGAACACTTGGCCAGCTACCAAAATTTATTGGAACATTATTTGAATCTTTAA